TAAAAATATGTAAAAGAAAAATAAATATAAATATTTATTATTTATTTTTCTTTATTTCTTTTTATTTTTATTTATTTATACAAAAATAAATATTTATTATTTTTCTTATTTATTTTTGTTTCTTTTTATTTATTTTTTGTTTTAATTATTTTTATTAATATTTATTTATTTGTATTTATTACTTTTATTTTTTTAATTTATTTTTGTTTATTTTTTTTTATTTATGTATTTTTTTAATATCTTTATATTTTAGTAAATTTATTTTATTTTTAGTTATTAATTTTTATTTATTTAATGGAACTGGGGACAAAACTGTCGCGATGTTGTTTTTATTACTTCACTCCTCTTATTTTTCATGTCAGGCAAGCCATAATAAGTTTACTTCAAGATTTATTTAAAGTCGTATAATATATTGAAAATTTATAAATTAAAATTGTTACAACTTAAAAAAAAAACAAAAAAAGTAATTTTTCTGGAAAGAAAGTTTATATTTTTTTGAGTAAATAATAAAGAGAAACTACAAAAACATTGAATTTTCAACTCTCTATGATTTTGTATATAAGTCATATATATCTCCTCCTAATTTCTAACTACCCTAACTCTGTTAGTTTTAATAATAACAAAAATGCTAAATATCATTTATATGTAAAACTTTATGCTTTACAATTTTTTTATAACATCTACCGTTTTTAAATAACCTTAAAAACACACTTTATTTTCTTGTTTTTCGACATTTGTCTGAAAAACAATTTTTTTTTATATCGTTTTCAAATACTCTAAAGTGACTTATATCAAAAATTTCTGTATTTCCTCCAAAATTTTGATTTAAAGGTCTATTTGATTGGACTATTTATTCTATAATAACCCGAAGTGAAGGTACTGTCACAATACATCCCCTATTAATAGTCTTAAATGCCCTCTGTAAATCTAAAAATACTGCAAATGTAACCAAATTATTTTTAATTGACAACTTCCAGTAATGCAACACCATCTGTAAAGCAGTTTCACACTTGTGTTTACTACAGAATCATGATTGCACATTACTTATTAAACTTTATGAGTCTTTATTTATTTTCCAAGTGACAGCTGGGGTTCTATCTTTGGGGCTATATGTAGGGTAGTTAGGATTTAAATGTTAGGGCCAAACTTGGTATATCGATTACATGACTGTACATCCTGCTTTGGACGGGTTAATCCCACTTCAAACTATATTGATTTATTTAGTTTGAGCTATTGTAAACCAAATATCTTGTGCAAATTATAATAAGGATACAAATATTTTTTTTAATAGAAATATGTTATTTTTTCAATAAATTTTATCAATTTGATCAATTTTAAGGGAAAAGAATTGAATAAGGGTTCTGGGTGCGTAAAATCAACATCAATAGCTCGATCAATAGTTATAATATAAAATATTTTTAGGGCAAGGAAAATTATTAGCAATGAATTGTTGTATTTTTAATAATACATATTTGGATAGTAACATTTTTGTGCCTAAAAGTAGCATCTCTGAGCTTTTATTTGAGACAGTTTGTGAAATATTTTTATTTAAAAAATTAATTGTGTCATTATTAATTTTCCCAAGATATGGAACTAATATTTTTTGTTTACAATAGTAATACGAGTATGTATGTTTAGTTTTTTCATAAGCGAAAAGAGCTCGAACTAGACAAAGACAAAGACCATTTTTATTGGTTTATTTAACGTATACAGTATACAGTGCTTTTCAGATAAAAGTATCCACCTTAAGTAACTTTTGAAGGACTGATTATTACAAAAAACAAAAAAATACGTCAATTAATATTCGAAGGGGGAGATATCGTGCCATATTTAAGTTTGCTGAAAAAGTCACCCTTTCACCCCTACTATCATCCCTTCAATTTTTTTAAATGGCTTCCCCCATTTTTTTATCCATTTTTGGATTGTTCTCGTTTAACTGATTTCAAAAATGTATAAAACATGGGGTTTAAAATAATTAGTTTATGATCTACAGGGTTCCATTATTTGAGTGACAAATTTTTACATCTCACCTTACTGACTGCAGCAAAATTGGATTTAGAATACATTATACCTTAATCGTACCGCTAAAAACTTGTTGAAGTTTTTTATGATACATGGTAAAGGTATTGGAGATTTTAAAAATGAATTTAAATTACTTTTATAGTGTATTTTGATACATGTGCACATTGATTTGTTGAGGTTATTTATTTGATTTGAAAATCGTTTACAGTTTACAAGAAAGAATTGAACTTGTAGGTTTATACTACAAAAATAACAGTTCTGCACGAGCTGCTGCTAGAATTTTCAACGAAACACACCAAGGAGGTCATGCAACTCATAAGTATGTAATTGATCTTATGCATAAATTTACATCAACCGGGTCAGTTGGCAATAAAAAACATAACCGACTGGAACTCGTAAATAACGAAGCAATTGAAGTCGCAGTTTTAGGACAAGTAAGTCTTGAAAATCAACAAGCACAGTCACTGACAACAATAAGCAGAGAAGTAGGTGTTTCATCTTCCACAGTTTATCGAATATTACACAAGCATAAGTACCATCCATACAAAATTAAATTGGTTCAAGAGTTGTATGAAGATGATTTTGATCGTCGTCTTGAATTTTGTGAACTATTGAGTCAGCGCTTGACTGACAATCCACATTTGTTGCACAACCTTTGTTTTTCGGATGAATGCACATTTTCAGTTAATGGTTTAGTTAATAGACATAATTGCAGATATTGGGCTGAGAGTGATCCACATGTTGTGCGTGAATACCACACACAGAATCCTCAAAAGTTAAATGTATGGTGTGGTATCCTAGGTGACCACATAGTCGGACCTTTCTTTTTAGACGGAAACTTAAATGGAGAGTCATATCTTGAGTTATTGAGAGAAGTAATTGATCCACGTATTACAACAATAATAGAAAATTATCATAATCTTTCTGAAGATTTGCTTGTCTTTCAACAGGATGGAGCGCCTCCACATTTTGCTTTGCCAGTACGACAATTTTTAAATGAAACTTTTCCCAATCGTTGGATAGGTAGAAGAGGCTCGATGATGGAGTGGCCACCTAGATCACCGGATCACCTCTAGACTTTTTTTATGGGGTTATTTAAAAACAAAAATTTATGCTACCCAACCAGAATCTTTAGAAGATTTACGACAAAGAATAGAGTATGAATGCCTACATTTAAATGCACACGTGTTCGGTAATGTCAGGGAGGCTTTTCAATCTAGGTTATACCATTGTATGGAAGTAAATGGTGGACATTTTGAACAATTTTTATAATAAATTTTGAAAATGAAATATTCGTTTTGTCATTGGAAACGCTTGTGACAAAATCATTAAAATAAAAGTTTTGCACAATTCAATTTTATTATAATTTAAAATTCTGTAGATCGTAAACTAATTACTTTAATCCCAATGTTTTATACATTTTTGAAATCAGTTAAACGAGAGCAATCCAAAAATGGATAAAAAAATGGGGCAAGCCATTTAAAAAATTGAAGGGATGATAGTAGGGTGAAAGGGTGACTTTTTTAGCAAACTTAAATATGGCACGATATCTCCCCCTTCGAATATTTATTGACGTATTTTTTTGTTTTTTGTAATAATCAGTTCTTCAAAAGTTACTTAAGGTGGATACTTTTATCTGAAAAGCACTGTATGTAGTAGATATGTACAGGGTCTTTCGTAAGGATCGATCGATCGATACTGATATCAATTTATCAGCTGTATCAGCTATATCGGCCTTCTTGCCGATATCGGTATCGACTAATAATGTAGAGTGCGATATCGGCCTAATAAAAATATCAATTAAATAAAGAATTTTTTTAAAGAAATTAAAACAAATATTGAATAAAAGAATATTTAAAATCTAAAAAGAAAATAAAAGTCAAAAATATTTATTTTTTTAATATTCAAAGTCAAGTTTTGGTACCTTAAAGTGCAACAAAATTAAACTTTCTACTCTTTTAAAGCTTAGACGATTTCTTGTGCTTTCATATACAGGGTGATTCATTAAGTGTAGTGACCGGCTGTAACTCAGAATATCTTGAAGTAGACATTTAAAAAAAAACGCAAAAACAGTTCGACGTTTATTTCAAGACGAGCATCTTTCAATAGTATCCTCAAGTGTCATATGTCATTTCTTCCCTCTCCCCTCCGTCAGTCTAACCAATACAATTTAAATAGGGATAGGTAGCAAGTATAGCACATTAGCGAAAATGTAATTTTATGCAAAATTAAGCAATATGACTATTCATTGCGCTATTTTTATTTTAACGCCCTTTAGCGGGATACAAACTGTATTGTACAATGTGACATCATTTAAAAGCAAATTTTATTAGTAATTGAATGCATTACATATGTTAACTTAATTAAAAATGAACTTAAAATTAAAAAGAAAGAGATTGCATATTACTAACTTTATTTTATATATTGAGTAAAAAATATAATACAAAATAAAATAAATAAAACAACGCCCACCCATGTACCGCGCAATGGCCAATAATCCTGAACAAAAATCAGTAAATAAAAATTCATAAAATTCAACTTCTCCAAAAAAGTCGTATTGTGGTGGAATGCCTGCCAAGAAGCAGTAATAAGTTCAAAAAAGCCAACAACAGATTTTGCAGGACAAAAAGCGAACAAGACTTTATTAATTTTAAAAAACGTCCATTTATTGAAGGTCTATTCACGTGCCCTACAAGAAAGGGAAGACATACGCCTTATTATTTTACTTGCTGGTTCTAAAGAAAGTTTTGTATAAAATGCATTATTGGTGTTTGAAGCCAAAAATACGGGATGTAACCATGAAGAGATAAATATTTTATTCACTCACTAGTCGGCTTAGCGGGATGCCATTTTAATTAATTTTTTGTCCCGTTTTTTACTACGCCTGATAATGGTCACTTACCGAAACTAGTCGCTTCCCCCTATTTTCAATAATAAATAAAAAAAAAATTTGAAAATTAATATACTTTTCGTTTTAGATTTCAGGTCACCTAGAAGAAACCTGTTCAATGTCCAATTTGGAAAATTTTATGAAACCAATTGTTACTATTGCGGCCATTTTTTTCTTACCAAGTCACAGTTTCTGTACCATTTTATTGTTATTCATCATGTAAAAATAGTAAGAAATTGTAAACGAACATTGCGACATTATAAGGATTGTCGGTGCAAAAGTTGTTTATGTATTATTTTTAGACATCTACCTACAGCAAATATATTCCATTTCAATGAAAAACCATACAGGTGTCAAATATGTCTGAAACGGTTTAAATTTAAAAGAAATTTATTAATGCACATAAAAATTCACACTGAAGGAAAACCGTTTAAATGTGAAATGTGTTCGAAATTGTTTATAAAGGAACGCAATTTAAATAGTCATTTGAGAAATCACACTGAGGAAAAACCATTCAAGTGTGAAATATGTTTGAAACAGTTTACACGAAAAGGACATTTAAATGATCACTTAAAAATTCACATTGGAGAAAAACCCTTTAAGTGTGAAATATGTTCAAAACGGTTTACATTAGAAAGCTATTTAAATTTGCACTTGAAAATTCACACAGGATATAAACCTTTCAAGTGTGAAATATGTTTGAAACAGTTTAAACGAAAAGGACATTTAAATGTTCACTTAAAAATTCACATTGGAGAAAAACCCTTTCAGTGTGAAATATGTTCAAAACAGTTTACTCAGAAATCTAATTTAAATTATCACCTGAATGTTCACAATGAAGAAAAGCCGTTCAAGTGTGAAATATGTTTGAAACAGTTTAGACGAAAAGGACATTTAAATGTTCACTTAAAAACTCACATTGGAGAAAAACCCTTTAAGTGTGAAATATGTTCAAAACTGTTTACATTAGAAAGCGGTTTAAATTTGCACTTGAACATTCATACAGGATATAAACCTTTCAAGTGTGAAATATGTTCGAAACGGTACACACTAAAAAGCCAGTTAACTATTCACTTAAAAATTCACATTGGAGAAAAACCCTTTAAGTGTGAAATATGTTCAAAACGGTTTACACTAAAAAGCTATTTAAGTTATCACTTAAAAACTCATACCGGAGAAAAATCATTCGAGTGTGAAATATGTTCGAAAAAATTTATCCACAAAGGCGATTTTAAAAAGCACTTGAAAATTCACACCGGAGAAAAACCGTTTAAGTGTAAAATATGTTCGAAACAGTTTACAGAAAAAAGTAATTTAAATGTTCACTTAAAAATTCACATTGGTGAAAAGCCGTTCTTGTGTGAAATATGTTCAATACAGTTTACCCGGAAAAGCGATTTGAAAAAACACTTAGAAAAAAAATGTTTAAATGTGAAATATGTTCAAAACGGTTTACACTTAAAGGCAAATTAAATTTCCACTTAAAAAATTCTCACTTGAGAAAAATGACAATTAGTTTTTCTATTTTTATAGTTGCATGATATACATTGGGTGGTGTGAATAAAAACAACTTTTTGGTAAATCTAGACTATTTATAAGCAAATACTAGATTTGGTGTGAATAAACTTAGCATGTGTTAGGACTAGATAGTTCTAGATTTTTTCCCATGTCTAGCTTTTGCTTAACCCTAGAACGCTAAGCATATTTCTAACACTACTTAAGACTAAGCATTCGTAAATTTTACGACTTTTTTTTCGTGTTTTTTTTTCATACCAAAACAAAGAATAGCCAAAAAATGTATTATTTATTAAAAATTGACATTAACATATCATTATTAAGAACATGTTTGACAAATTTCACCACGGTGCTCACTACAAAATGGTTTTTTACAGTTTGAGCAGAAGTGAGTTGTCATTCGTCTTTTTCTTGAAGGGCACATCGCACAAATGGTTCTATTGGACTTGTTAGTAGCTGTTCTCTCTTCTAGAACTGTATGTCTGTCTTCTGTTGCTGTTTTTTCTAGAATCTGATTTATAGTTTCACGGAGTGAGCGCTGCAAAGTGGGTATTTTCACTCGTTCTTCTAACCATGGTGCCACTAAAAGTTTATACAACTCCAGCATGTATGCTTTTCTGGAGATCAATTTCTGTCGGCGTTTTGTTTTATGAGCATTGTACAAAATATAGCTATTTACACAGGCAATATTTAGCATGGCAAAGAAAAGGCATAGGGGCCATCGTTTAGTTTTTCTGGAAGAACTCATAATTGAACACATCTGGTCCAATGTATCCACTGCTCCTTTTGTCTGATTGTAAGTCTCAATAATTTCCGGTTTTCCTGAAGTTTTTGAAACACTACATCCTTGGTGCATAGTTGATAAAAGTAGAACATTTTTATTCTTCTTTGGAGTGTAGGAGACAAGCACTTTTTCTTTGTCAAAACAAAATTTAGAGCTGCCTGGATCGCGATTCTTGGTTGCTAACATTTCTGCTGGTATTTCACGTTTATTTTTTCTAATGGTACCAACCATGGTAAGATTGTAAGGAGGAGCTAATAAATCATCAGCTAGTTTGACGGACGTAAACCAATTGTCCATTGTAATATTTCTATTGGACCCTGAAATAGTTTCACACAACGTTTTTACGTAAAATTCGCCCAAAGGTATCCCATTAGTGTTTGTGCTTTTACCCAAATATGGCATGGCGTCGAACATGTATTTTGTCGATACGTCGCATACCAAAACTATTTTTATGCCATATTTAGAAGGCTTGTTAGGTATGTACATTCTAAAGGGACATCTTCCCCGAAAACCTAGCAGTTGTTCGTCAATGGTAACGTAAGAGCTTGGTTTCTATGAATGTCTGCATTGACTTATAAATGCATCCCAAATATCTCTGATAGCCGCCAATCCATCCAATAAAAACTTGAATCTTTCACGGCTCATGACTGCCTTGAATACTGCTCCAGATATTTTATCATCAAATAACTCTTTGGTCGACAAATGGTTACTTTTCAAATACGCTGACAATACTAGTAATCCTAAAAAAGCTCTTACCTCGTCAGGACTAGTAGTAGATATTGTAGCAGATTTTGCTTTATATTTAGCAGATTTTATTTCAATCATAGCATTTGTATGTAACACAATTTTATCAATCATAGAATCCGTTATGAATAGTTTGAAAAATTCGTTTGCGTAAGAATCGTTCTGGAAATTTATTACTGGACCCGGAAAAATATGAATTATATTTCGTTGCGGAGTTTTTGATGTCGCTTTGGGAACAGCACTCCATCGATGACCATTTTTCCCTACGAGTCTCACTTGCGATCGAATTGTCTCATCAACTCTTACGATTCTTCTTTGTGAACTTGTTTCTGTATTCAATGATTCATATTCTTGTTGTTCAGGTTCGTTACTTCTGGATGTTCCAGGTAACGAATCGTTTGCCATTATTTGATTATCCGCATGTGTTTCTTTATTTGATTGTTCATGTAAAGTCCTATTTTTTTTTGCTCTAGGAGGACTATATTCGTCTCCGTCCTCATCTTCTGAAGGTACGTATTCACTTCCACAGTCCTCAAAATCTTCAAACTCTATGACATCCTCTGTTTCGCTTCCACTTTTCTGGGCGCTGTCCTCATCTGATTCTAGAGTCAAATTCTCTGATATTTTCTCAAGTTCGGCTTGAGTAAGAGGTCTGTTTTCTTTTATTTGTTTAGACATATTTTTTAGAAATAACTTGCAAGTACTACAAGTTATATTTACAAAGAAAAAAATCTGAAAAATAATTTATTTTTGTACAGCGCGATAAAAACAAAAGTTACGTTAAGACTAACCTTTCGTAAAATTTACGATATGCGTCTTATAGCTGCCAGTACGGTACACTTAAAAATCGACCAACACACACGGGCTATTCACCAACACTGTCTGAGAGAATAGCTAGACGCAGAACCCGATAGCTAACGGATCCGAACGATGGTGGCCGAAAATAAAAATCACCGTCGTAAAATTTACGAAGCTTAGCGTTCTAGGGTTAAATAATGAGGTAAATAAAAACTTCAGCTGGTTTTTTCTATAGCTCTGTAAGTGTGGTCGGGGCACACTTCACTTTGTCTAGATTTTTCTACGATAACAGTTTCAAATTAGTGGTTTGTTTTCAAAAATGGCGGAATTTATGCCCATCCGTAAACGTAAAATTTACAGTGTTCGTAGGGAAATCGGACTGCGCAACTATAAAGAACTCTTCAGATTTGAAAGTCGAAGTATACATTTTTTAGCGGCTGAATTCCTTCTCGAAACACGTGGTGGATGTATTTCTCGAAGGCAACAAAAGGAAATATTTTTGAGGTTTGTTAGTGACCCTGATTTTCAATCCGGTATAGGAGAAGATCTAGGCGTCCACCGTACAACCGCCAACAAGACTATAAAGCATGTTATGAATCGTATAGTTGATCAATCAGGCAATTGGATCCGTTTCCCGGCGACGGCATCTGAAATCAACGAGGCAAAGGTTTTGTGGCGAAGAGACTTTCGTTTATCAACTGTGATAGGTGCACTTGATTGCACTTATGTTGAAATACTTAAACCAGGACTGGTTCGACATGGAGATTAATATATTTGTCGCAAAGGTTATCCCAGTATTAATGTAAAGGCTACATGTAATGCCCTGGAACAGTTTACAAGTATAAGTGCCGACTGGCCCGGCAGTGTTCATGACGGAAGAGTGTGGAGAACGAGCCTCATCAGGGATATCATGTCCCGTTATGATGTAACTGTATGTCTTTTAGGGGATTCAGGATACGGGGTGTCTCCTTGGTTAATAACACCCTACAAGCCTCCTCGTAACCGTCAACAAAGGCGCTTCAACCTAATACATTCCAGGGAGAGAGTGATAATAGAAAGATATGTTGGTCAGTTAAAGATTTCCCATTCTTGGAAAATGTGTTCGAATCGCCTTTAACAACGTATCAAAAGTAATAAGTTTTGCTTTTCTGCATAACATAGCAAAGCATCTGAACGATGACTTCGACTATGGGGACTTAAATATTAACCCTGATGAAGAAAACAACTTAATGGTTGAGGTTCACTACGAAAATTTTAACACAAACAGGAGAGGCAAAGACAAACGCGCTGTTGTGATGCAATTACTCAATATACCATAAACAATCAACCTAAAGAGTTTCGATATGAAAGTTTTGAATATACCATTTTTTTTGTAAACTGTGCTATTCCTTTATAAAGTCGATTAAATAAAATATAAATCGTTCATATACAGGGTTGGGATAAAGTATGGAACCAAGTAAATATCTTTAAAACGAAAAGGACGATATTTACGAAACTTTGCAGGCAAGTGCAATGACGCATAACACATCTGATGACATATTTTTTGTTACTACTGCAGGTTTCACCGGAAATACCCTCAAATTTTTTAATTTAAATATATACTAAGTACATACTAAGTTAAGTGGAAATTATTTGTTAAAGTAATTTTTTCTTTCATACTTTAAATTAAAAAGGGTGAAACCGTACAGTAGTAACAAAAAATATGGCATCAGATGCGTGATTGTACTTGCCTGCAAAGTTTCTTAAATATCGTTTTTTTCGTTTTAAAAATATTTACTTGGTTCCATACAAACAAAACTATTTTTAGTCTTCAGTCAATACCAGAAAAAAATAAAATGAAATCAAAGAAGTCCACAATTTACAAATCTTGAATAAGATACAAGTCATCCGATCCTAAAACAGTTCGAGTTGACTTTTTCAAACATTCGTTCTTTTGTTTTTGAGAGAGCTTTTCTCTCCAGTCTTATTTTGTTAATTTGGATTTGCTGTAACAATACAATTCATTGTAGTTGTGTGGTGGACAAGTCCATAGTTTCTTGACTTTCATAATTTGCTACCATCTTTGTGCTTTTCCTTATTTTCTGTTTCATGCGATCAGCACCTTCATGTATCGGTCGTAGCATTTCTAGATTTTGCTCAGTAACACTATCGTGCACAATATTGTTTCCTGTAGTGGATAGGCCAGTGCCAACCGAAATATTTCCTGTAATTTTGTGATATACTGGATTGTCTTGGTCTATTATTTGTACAAACTCATTTTCCCATTTTTTCAATTTAATGGGCTTATTGCTGGTATCTTTTACATCTGTCTTATTTTTTATGATAGTTTTTATGTTTTGCAATACTTTAGTTGTATTATAGTGAAGAGTCTCCTGATTGAAGAAGAATACTCAGCACTGAGAGTAGATCATGCTTCTGTCTTAGATTTCATCACGGACGGTGTTTTTTTTTAGATTTATCCAGTAATATAATGTGGTCTTTCAACAATCTTACAAACAATTTGCGATCAATATTTTTGTCGTCTTTCTCGTCGTTACTATCACGCCATCCTGTGAGAAACACATATTTCACTGACCTGTCGTGACATGAGCCGAGCGTGCATGACATCATAGAGTACAGGGATTAGTGAAAGGGAGTATATCGTGACGTGAACCTAGTAAGTGCTTATAGGTTAGCATATGCTGCCCGTAGCTTTTGCTTACACTTTTCCGGATAGTACTAGCTTTAGTATAATGTTTCCCGGATTTTAAGACTTTTTATTCACTTCGATAATAAGCAAACACTTAACTGCCTAGCGTATGCTAAGTTAGCAAATGCTTGCTTTTATTCACACCACCCATTATAAAAGGTTTCAGATCACCTATTAAAAGTAAAAACATGTAAGATCTAGACGATGATGTAAGATTTAGACCAAAATATCAAACGACATAAAATACTTCTAAATGCTTTAATATTATAAACGATTTTTGGAAATAAAAAATGTATATTTATATTTTAATATTAAGCAATTTGTAATCTTAAGATAAACATAATAGTTATTTTTAAATATACGTATATTACCGATTAAAAGAATTGTTAATATCCACTATACCTTACTGTAACAAATTTTTTGTTAAAGAAAACCTTGTATTTATTGGACATTTATTATTAATTATAATATTATGGTATTATTAAATTTTCTCAGTTAATATTTAAAGAATTTCTTCCTTACGATATTTTAAATATAAAATACTTTTTTCTCTCAGTGTAATAATTCGAATCAACCTATTTTTCTCGTGAATCGATTTATTTTACCTGATTGTTGAATCGAATCGATTCAATTTTTAAAAATCGATTCTGATGAATCGATTTATTAAAGCAACAGGCTAGTAGTGCCGCATTGAAATTAATATACTTTTCGCTTTAGCTTTCAGGTCGTCTAAAGGAAACCTATACAACGCCCACTTTGAAAGATGTTGCCAAACGTTTTACTATTGCGGCCAATATGTTCTTACTATATCAGTTTCTTTCTCATTTTATTGTTATTCATTGTGTAAAGAAAGTAACAAAATTTTGTAATCGAAAATTTGTACATTGTTGGTGTAAAAATTGTATGCGTACTAAATTCAGACACCCACCTACAAAAAATATTATATTTCATTTTAATGAAAAACTTTTTCAATGTAATATTTGTTCTAAAACATTTCCTACCGAAATAAATTTAAATAATAATTTGAAAATACACATTGGTAAAAACTTGTCCAAATGTGAAATATGTTCGAAAAAGTTTACAAGCAATGGTAGTTTGAAAACATCTAAAAAGTCACACTGGAAAAAACCATTAGAGTGCGAAAATTGTTCGAAACAATTTACAAGGAATGACAATTTAAAAATGCATACTAAAGAAAAACCGTTCAAGTGTAAATTATGTTCGAAACAATTTATACGAAAAACTAGGTTAGAAACGCACTTACAAATTCACACCGAAATAAAAACGTTCAAGTGTGAAATATGTTCGAAACAGTTTACGAGGAATGGCAATCTGAAAACGCACTTAAAAATTCACTCTTGAGAAAAACCGTTCAAGTGTGAAATATGTTCAAAACAGTTTATACATGGTAGTTTGAAAAAGCACTTAAAAATTCACACTATAGAAGAACCGTTCCAATGTGAAATGTTTGAAACAATTAACACGAAAAAGCGGTTTTCACACTGGAGAAAAACCGTTTAAGTGTGAAATATGTCCGAAACAGTTTGTCCAGACAGGCGATTTAAAGAGGCATTTGAAAACTCATACTGGAGAAAAACCGTTCAAGTGTGAAGAATGTTCCAAACGACTTGTCTTGAAAGGCGATTTGAAAAGGCACTTAGGAACATCTTACAAAAACCGTTTAAGCTGCAGCAAAGAGCACGCACTGGTCAAAAAATTATGAAAAGCATTGTTACCTACAATATATTGGTATACAGGTTGGCTAACAGTTTTTTCGAAGTACATGTACAAATGGAGGTACATGTATACAGTATCTACCCGGATAAGTGAAGCGACTCTTGAAAATGATACCCTATTTTCTCTACCTTAGTAGAGTCTCTTTTCGAGTCCACCTTCTTCGCTGTCGAATTTACAACCGGTCTCCTTGTTTAATTTCCATACCTAATTTGTTTGAATATTGCCGACTTGCAAAATTTTCATAGTTTAACCAAACTTACGTGGTTGATGACCTGACATTATTTTTCATCATTTTAATTGAGGAATATAATTTCGTTAAGTAGTTATTTCCTACGTATATTAGAGAGTTGAAGTGATGTTATGAACGTATACGTAAAAATTTCCATTTGCGCATTTAAATATCTTTTACGTTCACGTCTACGTCCATACGTAAACTTACGGACTCTGGCGAATGTACGCAACGCAAACAATATAACCTCTTTTCAATTGGGAAAGAAGAAATCCTGATACTAATTGTCATTATCTGTCACGGCACGTAAGTCACGGTGCGTTTAACAACTTCAACTCATATTTTGGACTTCAACGTAAACATTATATTTCTGCGTTGACGTTCACGTTAACATACTGGAAATACTTCAACTCTCTATTAGCAACTCGGCAGTATTTTGTAATTTTTTGTTAAATTTGTTTAATCAGGTATGTTTTGACTAAATAAATTGCAGAATTAAAAATAAAATGATTTTGTTTGATTTACTTTAAAAAACTAAGAAACATTGTTATTATTTTTGGAATTTGTGACAGTATTCATATTGAAAAAATGCTTTTTACTTTTTACTTCTATTCGAGCACAACAATAATAAACTGTTGTTTATCTGAAGGTGTATTCCCCGATAATTATAAAAATAGGTAGTCTCTGTCCATTATTTAAAAAAGGAAATCCATCTTGCCTAGAAACTTTAGACAAATTGCTTTACCTACTTACTATATTTTCAAAATTCTCAGAAAAAGCAGTAGATATGTTATATCTTGAATAACACTAATAGTTTTTAAAAATATATTTTATTACTAAAATGTTTAAAGTATGTTTCTGGAAGGTGAGTTGTTATGAACTAAATATTTAAATTTGTGTCACCCCTATTTATAAGGTAGGTAAAACAAAAGAAATAGCAAAAAGGTGTAATGTGACCAAAGTGTTGAATTTACAAGAAATGCAACTTAGCTGAATACAATCCTAGAGGTCAATGATAACTATTCTAGGAATTGCAACTAAGCATAATTTAACTCTAATGAATTTACTGTGAAATAATATACAGTATGAAATTTTTTATATAACATATAACAATCTAATTTTATGCTTATAATATACTCATCCCTTTCCAATATGGTTTAAAAAAGGGACATTCTACAATAGACGCTATTTTATTTCTAGTAAAATATATTGAAGACTGTTTTGAAAAATCTGAAGACTGTTTAGTTATATTTACTGATTTAAGTTCAGCCTTCGACTGTGTAGATCATCAGATTATTGAAAAAGATATAAAATAAGCTTTTTTTCTACGTTGACAATTAACAATTTATGATTACTGGTTTTTTGCTCGGCTAATAATTTCAATTTATCCCACGAATTACTGATACTTTTAATTGACACAAGGTTGTTAATATAAAAGGAAAAGAGCAAGGGTCCTAATTTATTATTCTTTCGTTACTTAATTCCCTCTTTATTTTTACTACTTAAATAACTTTCAAACGATAAAAATGGGTTATTCCTAGGTCCTCTAAGGATTTAAGTAATTGAGCATGACTTACCGTATCAAATGCTTTTGCAAGATTAAGGAATATAGTCAAAGTAGGAGTAAGTACTATTATCTAAAGATGTATAAATATATTTAGTAAGTTACAATAGTTATTTATGTACCAAGTCAAAAAAGTAATTCTTTATCGAACTAGTCTGAGATTATGAGCCGAGCGAGGCGAGCAACAGACGAGTTCGATACACTTTACTGACGTGGTCCATACAAATTTTTATAGCTAACAGGAAATAATTATAATTAATAAAAAAGGAGATATTATAACATCACATTTTAGTTTGACAAAACAAACGAAAAATAACAGAATACAAAACAAATCAGTTACAGAATATTTATGTGAGACTGTCATGGCTATTTTGATAAATATTAACGGCAGATAAAATATTTGATTTTTATAGTGAGATAAAGTGTTTACTTCCGCAAATCGCTATGATAATGCATGGCTTTATTGACGGCTGGCAATAAAGATAATTATTTAACCGTTCCGTCAAAGCTTTTTCAAATTTCATTAAAGCTAATTATTAAAGATATAATTCTATTAATTTTTTTACATTTTTCTTGTCGCCCTTTTTAAATATTGGCACCATAACAGATTTTTTGAATTGATTAGAACATTTACCTTTTTCAAATATCTTATTAATTAAAATTGTTATTGGATCAATGATATAATCGACTATTTTTACTTTCCTATCTGTATACAGATAAGGAAAGTATAGGAATCATGATTTTTTTCGACCTCCAGTTTTCGACAGATTTTTACGTTTTGGGGTCCCCTGAATCCGTTTTGACTATTTTCGGAATGATGTCTGTGTGTGTGTCTCTGTGTCAGTGTGTGTGTCTGTATCCACCATAACTCAGGAACCGATACAAAGAAAAACACCAAATTTTAAACTTAAGCTTTATTCCAGCCTGCGGTGAACTGATTAGATTTTGGGCAGAGTCGGAACATTTGGGGGGGTACTTTATTGGTGGTCATTTTTATATTTTATGAAATATATCCGTAATTTACGTTTGGAGAAGAACATTTTTCAAATAAAAGTTACTTATAATATTATTATCTATAATTTTTGTTCTATACAAAATTTTCCTAAAATGGTGCGTATTCGAGAAATTTGACAAAATGTAAAAAAAATATTTTTTTATAAAAATTGTTCAGATAAAAGTTGTTTGTAATATAATTCTCTATAATTTTTATCCCATACATAATTTCGAATTTTAAAGAAAACTCAAAAACGGATAAAGGAAAAAACATTAAATTTTAAACTTAAGTTTTATTTTGGGGGGTACTTTATTGGTGGTCATTTTTATATTTTATGGAATATATCCGTTATTTACGTTTGGAGAAGAAAATGTTTTAAATAAAAGTTACTTACAATAATAATATCTATAATTTTTGTTCTATACAAAATTTTCCTGAAATGGTCCGTATTCGAGAAATTTGACAAAATGTAAAAAAAAATGATTTTTTTATAAAAATTGTTCAAATAAAAGTTGTTTGTAATATAATTCTCTATAATTTTTATTCCATACATAATTTCTCTAAAATGGACCATATTTGAGAAAATGTGTAAATTTCGAATTTTGAAGAAACTCAAAATCGGAAAAAACATTAAATTTTAAACTTAAGTTTTATTTCGGCCTGAGGTGAAATAATTAGATTTTGGACGAAGGCGGAACACCTAGGGAGTACTTT